AAACCAAAAGGCCCCAGCCCTTTCTCCCACGCTCGAAAGCAATGCCACGAAAGGTGCAAGGGGTGAATCAGGAAAACCTTCATTCCGTATGGAAATAACAGCAGTCATGTTTTCCAGGCTCTCCTCAAAAAAAGAGGAGTATTTTCCAGATGTTAACTTAATGTACTGAAGGGTTCGAAGGGGAAGGGGGGCTGTTAGCACGTTACCGGTGCGAAAGAAAGATGTGGCTTTCCATCCCCATAACCCTGACTGAGATGTCACGGGCAATTTGACAGCGGAGAGAGGATTTCTTGTGCTGCTGAATTCTGGCATAAAGACAAATTGTCTCCAAGGCCATATAGGTCCCATAAGGAAGGGCACAGGGGAGCTCTGTTTCATGGCCCTCTACCAAGGATGGGTTTGCAACCAACAGTGGGTAGTGCTGATTTATTCAAGGAGGATTTATTCTCTTTCTTGGAAAGGATTTTCTATTTGACTTGTATAGGGGCTCTGCGCCGCCCCAAGGCTGCCCTGGAACCCTGGGGTGGTTCCAGGGCTGAGGACCCCTCGTGCTTTGCCCCCTTTGTTCTCCTACCTGGAGCAAGGCGCAGGGGCAGCACGGGCACCTCCCGGGGCTGGGGAAGGGCTGTGGGTTCTGTGTCTGCTCAGGGTACTGGAAGGGATGAATCCATCCTTCAATCACCAGATCATGCTGCATCTTTAAAAATGCTTTTGGAAGAGCATTTCTGAAGCAACTCCATTTTCCTTCTTACTTTAAAAACTTTGACTTTAGTTTTAATCATCCCCAAACCCACAATCCTTTGTTTGCACATGAACAGGGGTAGGAAGACATGTGGCTGGGTAGAGTTGCATGAGGTAGGCTAAGAAAGTAGGAAAAAGGGTTTCCGTGCCCCAAAGTTTCAGCTTTTTCCAACTTTAACACCTACTCTAATAAGAGAAATAGTTCTTTGGTACAAGCCTTATAAATAACCACATGTCATTCAGAAAAGTTTAGCTAAGAATTAAACTAAACATCAAATTTGGCTGAACATGTAATGAATAAATAAAGCCTTTTCCATTCATGTACCCGTGCCAAAATCAACAAGCTCTATTAGCGGATGAAACAATGCTGACGCCAAATAAAAATACCCCTGACCCATCAATATGGGCTAAGAGCTCGGCCCTGCATCAAAGAGCATTGTCTGAACAAGAAATATTGTCTCGACACCTCTGAGGGAGAAAGAGGCTCCCATCCTGGCGGCGAGCTGGGCGCCCTGTGCAGCCGGCTGGGTGCAGGGAGCTCTCCCGGGGTGTCAAGGAGCGGCAAAGCCATCACACGACGGCCACTGGCTCCAGGCAGCCTGCTCCGGCCACTTCTTCTGTACGCCCCTCCTTGCTTTTGCTGGAATGATTTGGAAACCTCTTGAGCAGCAAACCTGTTTGGAGCAGGGACTGTGGCTTCGGTGTTCGCTTGCTCCCCGCCGCCTGCCCTGCGTGTAAATCGCCCACAAAGCCGGCGTGGTTTTTTATTGCGTGCAAAACGCCAGTGCTCAAACCAGAAATTCTCAAAGGTCCCTGCTCGGTACCAAAGCAGTGCTGCAGCATCTCAGAATATCTCAACAGCTGGGAGCACAGTGCCAGCTGTGCCATCCTCCTCCTCCCTGGAAGGGTGTGATGGCGAAGTAACGCCGCTTCTCCCCTCTGCCCCACGCAGCCCGTGCAGCTTTGCTGTCCCCCTGCCGTGCCTGTTCTGCAAACCCCTCTCATTTGAAATCTGCATTTAGCCATTCTGTGCCATGCCCTGGATGTGATCTTTAAAGTTTCACCCTTCCCTTGACATCCTCGGTTAAAAGATCTATTCCCTATTAGTCTCCAGTCTCACTTTTAGATTCATTCAGGCTTTTATTTACTTATCCATCTGTCTTCCTGCTCCCACCACTCCCCCTGCCCTGCCAGAAGGGAAAGAACAATTCATTTTTCAGGTGACCCTGCCACAAAGGCATTGACATGAACAGGAGAAGGTTCAGAAACTATGGAAAAAGCAAAAAGCCTGACTTTAACGAGCAGCAAAACGCTTCCCAACCAGAAGGGAGCAGCCAGATGTGACCAGAACTGCTGTAAAACAGAGAAGATGATCCTGCAAATAATTCCCGTGATGCCCCAAACGCCTCCTTTTGCAGAACTCTGTGAGCTCTGCTCGAAGTTGTTACAGCTGCAGCGCACGGTCCCGCGGGCTGTGCGATGCCTCCCCGGTCCCCGTGCAGCCCGGTGGAAACGCTCCCTGTCTGCCTTTCACCAGGACTCTCCTCCTCTGCCTGCAGCGATGCCCTGCACGGAGACATCGTCCAGCTCCCTCCTGTCTGGCTGCCTTAAGCATGGAGGGACGTTTGTGTGTCTTTAGTTTTGATTTGAGCTGTCTGAGCAGGGCAGGCGTCCTGCTGGGCTGTGCTTAATTCTGAGTAACATCAGTTTAACTGCACGGATGGTACCCTGCTGTTTTGAAAGACACCTAAGAAAGCAATATAGTCACTGTAAGAACTTCTCTGCTGGAAAGCCATGCTCCTGTGAGAACCCACCTGTTACATAAAAATAATTAAAACCTGAAGAGAAAGGATAACAGGACACGGAAAGGCACCCGAGCAGGCTGGCAGGCAAGGAGCTGCGCAGGGCTGGTGCGAGCCGCCAACCCTCTCGGCTGGCAGCAAGGGCCGGGGCTCGGAGCTTGTACCGATCGGTGGGCAGCGCCATCGATTTTTGTCCAGCGCTTCCTTTGTGCAGGGGGAGCAAAACTCCGCTCGCATCCTCTGCGGGCTGCGCTCGCCTCTCTCTGCATGTCAATAGGTGTCAAGTCACCACCCAGGACCGGCGATGGAAGGGCCGTTTCTTGCTGATTCCACTTTCTACTGACCATAAGGGGATGCTCAGCAGTAAATGGCCACATGCCGTTCCTTGTGACAGAGGCTGTGAAAATTTACCTTGATGGCCTCCCAGCACACACCACTCCAGTCCTTAGGCTGGACTAGAGCCTGGATCTCTCCTGCAGCCATCTCCTACTCTGTGCACCAAGTGCTGGGTGGGCTCCTTGCTCACCTCAGCAGGGCTGCTCTTCATCTGCTTCACTTTTAAAACTCTTTAATCCCCTGGAGAGGACAGCGCTGGTGCACGACGGGGGAGAAAGGGCCACGAATACAGTAGGATTTCATAAACCTATCCCAAAAATCTAAAAAAAATAACTTGCAATGTGTTACTCCTGTTCTTAGCTTGATTCTTCATCGGGGAATTGCTCGGGGACGTTGCCGTGAGTGCTGTGAGCTCCGTTTTGGGAGATGAGAGCTGGGCCAGGCACGCACCCCGGGGTGAGGCAGGGACAGGAAGGCAAATCCATGTTTTGCATTTGTGTAACTCCCATTCACGGCTGTACACGGTGTTTGCAAGTGTTACAGCACATGGCAGGCGTACGCTACGAGGAAATACAGCTGGTGCCCAGAATAGAAAGATTTTAGCTCAGTATTGACTGAATCAAGAGATGTAGAGAGCTGATTGCAGTTTGTGTCTTTTGCTTCCTTGGAGGTCAGTGGAACTGAAGTCTGGAGCATCCTTAGCCAGAAAGTGTTTGCAAATAGCTGCAGTGAATAGCAGAAAGCAAACCAGCATTCACCTTTTAATCCTTCTGCAGCCAGTCAGATAAATGGAAATCCAGACTGACCCATCAACAGTTAACTGTTTTATTTGCAACCTTTGACTTAATCTTTCTTTTCAAATGATCTTTTTAAAAGGAAAAGCTGCTACTTATCAGGAATTAGTAGTAATATCTTCCCTGGTACTAGTGAGACCTCTTAGGCTGGGGAGAACTGGGTAAATAAATAGTGGCGGCATGTTCTGATGGTTGTAAATGTTTGGCATGTCCTGGTATCAAAGCAGAATTTTCCTCTTGGATTTTCAAGAGAAGCCCTGAGCTGGCTGGGCATCTCTGTGTGTGTGTGTATTTTGTAGGTGGGGAACTGAGGCATGAGGTATCTGAATCTGGGTAATGCTGGCAATAGAAACTGGGACTCCTGTCCCCTCTTCCACTGATGCAGAGGGAGGAGATCTCCCCTTCTCATTACAGGTAGTAGGCTATTATACTCCTTGTCCAGTGCTCACCCCAGTAGAAGCCCTATCAGCATGGACTGGCTCCGTCACTGTGCCTTAAATGTGTGCTTGGACGACTGCTGGAGGACGTTTGGGAGGGGATGTTACAGCCATATTGTTTTACTCTTTGCTTTGACCCCCAAACTCTTTTTAACAATGTAAAGCCTCGTGAATTATAAATCAAACGTTCCTGCTGCGCTTTGTGGTGTGCAGAATGAAATGCAATGATTAATATTTAAGAGAAAATAAGTTAAAGATTTTAACTGCAAGGGCAAGTGTCTGTCCAGAAAGCCTTTCCATGCGGAGGCTAGAAAAGAGGGAGAGGTGCATTTTCAGGGACTTCAGTGAAACTCGTGGCTGTCAGACCGACTGCCTGAGCTGCCGGGGTGTGGGGCCAGCCTGGCCTCCACCACCCTGCCCCTCGCTCTTACTGAGCTGCGATGATGTGCCCACCTCTGATAAAACCCCAGTGCCGGCTCAGCCTTTTGGGATGGGACTGGTGAACTCACCCCACACGCTTTAGCAAGCAGAGGGACATGCTCAGAGTGGGTCAGGTTGTGTGCTCAACGGGGGCAGAGCTCTTCCAAAACCCAGACCTTACCACCCCAGACTAGGACTTGTTAAGTCTCTCCCCAGCTCCTCCTCAACCTCCTCTCTGTGTGCCAGCACTATCTGTGCTCTAGGGCTGACCTCTTGTCAGCACAGCACCAGGATGGGCAGGATATCTTCTCCCCATTTTGCAGATGGGGAGACCAAGCGCTCAAGGCAACAGCCACCATTGCCACCCTGATCCCAAATATCCCTATAACGGCATCTCGGCAGTACCCTGCCTCTGGCCACCTGCAAGCAGAGTCAGTTATAACATATCAAACAAGGAGGGAAACACTTACATGGGTGCAGAATCTCTCTGGTGGGTCCCCACAAGTGATTCCTGCAGGATCCACCCGTACCGTCACATAATCCTTCATCCGCATGGCCTTGGGTTGACAAGCATAAAACTCCCATGACGGCCCATCATCCGTGGTCACCCAGGACTTGCAAATGTCATACTGTCCCATGGCCAAGGGGAGACAGTGCAAGAGGAGAGCAACCAGGTAGAGCATGGCAGCTGTGGCCAAGTGTGGGATCCCTGGGCAAGGGCAGTGCCGAGAGTCCCGAGGAAGGCAGCTACTGGGCTAGGGGTTGCTCTCTGGATCAGCATGGAAGCTCTGCATCTAAAAGTGATCCAGTCTAAGGAGATCCAGATGATAACAGGAATGATCCCACTCTGCACGCTGTATTCGGATGTGGAAAGTTTCTCTCAGCACAGAAGCCAACTTGGCAAATCACTTGATTGGGAAAGTTTTGGCCAGAGTTGCTGATCAGTGGTCAAAAGTCTTCCTTAACCTCATTTTTTTCCCCTTTTATTGTATGAAAGAGCTTCCAAATCAGCATGAAAATATCTAGAGGTGACTCCAGTCAATCAATAGAAAGATCAAGTTCTGAGTCGCTGATGAAATTTGATAGCAGTAAATTAGAGAGGCTGTGAGATGGTGCTGGATCAGGTTTTCCTCAACCTTCTTGTCTGCCGCAAATGCGTCGCTGTGGAAAGTGCCTTAAACTGTGGTCTGCCTTAAATAATTATTGGGGCTTTTGAACATTAATACATAAAACAAATATAGCATCTGCTCATCAGAACAACCCTGACAAGAGAGGCTCTTTGGAGCTAAAATGCCTTTCTCCCAAAGGATGGTTGCGTTGACGTAATCGTGTTGGGTGGCAGCATCTGCAGCGGTCCCAGCAGGACGCTGGGCAGTCAGTGGGTTGACAGGAGCAGCGCTGGCCTTGCTTCTCCCTCTGCGTCTTGCAGCAGTGGCGAGGCACTCGCTGGCGAGGATTTCTGTCTGACTCTGCCTTTTGGCAACTGAGCATCAAGTTCCCCGAGCCTTCAGCTGCAAGCCATGCTGCTACCTGAGGTCTCCCCTCTCTTTCATGGTCAGGGCAAAGAGAGAGCTCATTAGCAGGCTGCACCTGCAACAAATCGAAAGACAAATTAGCTGGGAGCAAGGAGGGGGGGCAGTTGGAGCAACAAGACTTGTAGGAACAGGGGTCCCCCAGGAGATAGAGCCCTCACCTGGGCTTCCTGAGCCACAAGCCAAGGTTTTTGTAAAAGGGAGATATACAACTTTAATAAAAGAAATCCATAGTAAGATGCTTATGGCTCTTCTGCTGTTTGGGAGATGGGAAGGAGCGCTGCCCCGTTTAAGGTGTCTAGTCTGTAACAGCAGCTGGACAACAAGAGCTCTAATGGGCCTCCAAATAATATCAAGAAGCAGCTATAGGTCATTAGAAGATGGAGAATATGCAGACACAGAGCAGGGACAGACAGACAAATTGATAGTCTTAAAAAGATAAGCAAATAAATAAGACAGCTGGGGAGACAGATACATTGTCCAGCATCCCCACATATGATTTATCTGAACAATAACATTTAATAAAAAACAATTTAAAGTCCTAATAACATTTAAGGTTCACCTAATACAAAGAGCAGTGACCTTCCCAGTATTCATTTCAGGTTAGAGCAACATTTCTGCAATTTTGTTATCTTTCCAGTAGAGCTATAAAATTCTTAAGTAATTACAAAACAAAATGACAAAGAACTGGCGGAAAAAAATATAAAAAAGTCATCAAACCCTTTCTCAGCATTAGACCCAGGAGGGAGATCTCATAAGAAGGTGGGAGGCACATATCCAGAACATAAATGTAGCTCTGGATAATTCCTTTTCTATTTGATTCCTCAACTTTTCTTCTACAATTTTAGGATGTCTGCTTCAACAGCATGTTTCGTATTTGTTTTCTTATAAAGCTCAGTTACTAAAGCTCAGAAACTCCAGGTTAACAGATGCATTGATCCATGTTCGGGGGCTTCACATCGCTGTGCTACCATCTCCCTTTCCCCCTTTTTGGTTGAAAGACAGAGATGAATGAGTTCAGAAAAGAGAAGCTATCTCTCATGCTTCATTGCCAGCTCTCAAAGAAGAGCCTATTATAGCTGAATAAACTCCCAAAGAAAGAATAGACTGGCTGCTATTTTTACATTATGAGTAAATGTAGTAAAAATAATAAACCGGTGTGACACAGTGTTTGTAAGTCCCGCTGACATCAGAGCTGTCTTTTCAGTTTTAACAAGTCAGTTCCTAATTATTACATCAAACTGGTCCCAGCCAAGTGCCTAATAACAGTGGAGAGTGTGAGACTCCAGTACTGTACAGAAAACAAGCAGGGTAGTTTTAATGAGGACTCCAGTGCTGTTAAGTTTATGGATCTATTTTCATAGCCTTAACAATTATATTTTGCACTTGAATGGCTGTCAGGGAAAAACCCAGGAAGACAGGATCTATAATATCTATTAGCTTCTTGTTATGCTTGCTAAATGTCACAGGATTCCCAGGGAAATAAAAATTTGCCATAAAAATGTATTTACTGTCAGTCATTCAGCCAGGCGTGCTAGTTCCCTGCGAAGTCCGCGGTGCAACACTCAGCCGGCACGGTCCCTTTGCAGAAGTAGTTGCACAATGTTGCTCTGAAATAATCCAGCATACTGCAAACCGGGGGGGAGAGACTCTCTGAATTAAAGGTTTTGCCCTGCTTGATTTGGTTTGATCCTTAGAAAATAAATCTTCACCTGATATTATTAAAGCAACTGCAGTTCATGGGAACAAATAGAATCAATGCTCTTTGTTTTCTTTGAAGAGTACTAGGCAATCGCTGGGGACTGATAGCCAGAGTATTAAAAACACAAAATTAGATTGTATCTTGACTTAGCTGGTTCCTTTTTTTTTTTCTATTATTATTGGATTAACACCCTTTTGAAATAAAGGGACAACGCAGAGCAACAACTGAGCTGCTCTGGAATTAAGTACAGAAAGTAAACTCAATGAAGGAGTTTTCAATTTTCTTTCAGAAGCGTCGCCTTCAAAACAAACC